TATAGCGAGACAGGTAAAACGTAGAGTTTGCCATCTATTCATTGGGGTTCGTTACAGCCGATTAACCCAAAAGCAAGGCAGTATGATTACTTCCCACGGAATCTGTGCCATATTCCTCTATTTTCCTTTCCTGGACGTAGATCTTCCTCACTACAGGTGTTTTTGATCGTTCCGTTTTGTAATTGTTGAGCTGAAATATGGTGTATCAACAGTAATTGCTGTGTATAGATGGGTGTGGCTGGGATTGGTAGTTCTAATATGATTACGGGTGTTTTGGGATTGACCGGTGTTCTATAGCTCGCCTAAAGTAAGTACAACAAAAGAAACATCAAAAGAAATATAGTTCTAAAGCACAATCTCTCCCCTTACATAATAAAAGAAAAGAACACGATTATGAAAGTTCAACATACATTGGCTCTGAATGAGATAACGTAGTCCGTTTAGAAGTACGCGGAAGCTGTCTGGATCTCGGTCTAGGAAGAACTGAAACACAATACCAAAGCAATCACCTTTTTAATTACAAAGATTGGGAAGTTAATTCCAATTTATCATTTTTTAAATAAAAAATAACAATGGTTTCTTGGAAAGAAAAAGCTGTGAAATGTAAAGAAAAAATTTTATTTACCAAGTCTATATGTCTAAGTTCAATCTTTATCCACTTCGTAGTATTACAATGCGGTAATGGTAATAACGTTTGATCTCCAACTTACTGCTCCTTCACTGTCCGTTGGTGGTGGTGGATCGACTGTTGTCTCTGGATCGAGCAGAACAACAAATTGTGGGTAGATCTCATTTGAACGGTCTGCTAGAAGAGTTCCAAGGAAGGTGTCAAATCTCAAATGAGGATTATTTTAATAATTAGAAATGGTAAGCGTTAGTATGTTTGACGTTTTTTGCACCAAAATACAAAGTCATCATCTGAAAATGGATCTCGCATTATCACTGACTTATTTGGTTGGATGGAAATATGTATTTCTCGGGCAGTCTAAGCCATGCTCATTACATTCCACTAATCAAAATTGCAATTACCAGAATCCATTTAACTTTGTCAAAGCAGCCAATTTGTGACGAAAAGAAAAGATTGGATTTTCATGTATTGAATGACGCGGTAAAACTTCTTCTAAGTGTTCTC